ACACACACACACACACACACACACACACACACACACACACACCATTCTGCCTCTTCCATGCATCCATCCATCTATACAAAAGGCATTTTTCTTTGACTGGCGAAGCACTTGATTCCCTACTTGGAATCACGAGAGAAAATGCTCTCTAGATGTAGGGGAAAATTTGACCCCATTCAGATTCGAAGTGCAAACGTTAGCCAGGCAGATGGAGTCTGTGCCCCACTGCGTCACCATAGGCAGCAGAACAAATGTTCTACTTCCAAAAATGGCCTTCAGTTATATTTTATTGTATGGATCTGACAGCCTTTTAAACACTGTCAAGTCATTTGAACAAAAAAACCCACCCGAATTAAATATCCAGCTCCGAAATGTCTTAACCAAAACGATCAAAAGCCTTGAAAGCTAACAACCACACCCCTCCTCTCCCTCCGCAAAATTGTTAATGATAACTGTCTTTTTGGGCTTTCCTATCACAATCATGGGCACAGTTGTCTTACCATGTACGATAGCAGCCGAAGAGAGCAGTGACACGAGCATGGTTGAGTCATTAAGTACGAAGACAACATTTCTGGAGAAAAAAAAAGAAATCGCGCTGCCTGCCCGTTATCTCTTCAAACTCTTGGCTCACCGTCGCGAAAAACATAGCATCAATATGCCCCTTCGGTTTCCTGAAAGCTCATTCTTGTATATTTTCAGTAACTAGAAACACAGAAAGACGGTCTTTTGGGGGATTATTCTATTCATGACTCTAAGCATCGTCTTCGTGAGACAGATAAGAAGCAAACGCAGGATATTGCTGGCTAAGAGCCACCACAAGGGCAGCTTTATGGAACTATTTCTTGCGCGTGTACCCTGGAGGAAGTGGATAACTAGATTTACGTACAATGTCCCTCTGTCGGTTTCCCCATACACCGTTATTGCTTGAGGGTCATAATCAGGTCGTTTGCATGTTCCCAGGGTGGAATTGTCAGAGGAATTTCCCAAAGCTTGAATTACAGCGGTTACGTGTCCTTCGTTAAGATGCAGCTTGGATAGGATAATTAGGCTTCTGCTTGGCTAATTACTCCACGTACTAGCTTAATCGCCCAACCGAAATCCCTCCCCACACCCTCCATACACACACACACACACACACACACACACACACACACACACACACACACACACACACACACATACACGCTCAAACAGACCATGTACATGTGTACCCATAATGTTTTGTTCATGCTCTCTGTGATTCAAACAAGACGTTGCGTGATTGTAGAAGTATGGGAAAGAAACAGAAAGCGACTGGTGAGACTTTTTTTTATGAAAAGAAAAAAAAGAGCCTGGAAAGGGAAGAGGAATTGGGACAGAAAGGAAGAAACATTCATGCTGAAATCCCCATTTGTAATCTCTTAGGGTTTCAGTTGTTTCCGTCGCCATCACAAGTTTTTAAACTGAAATTGTGAAGTTAGCGAGCTGTGTGATAGCCCCAGGCGTGAGAAAAGATTCGGTCCGATTTGATGTCTTTCTGATAATTCTTGACAAGTTGAGCGAATCTGGTCGTATAAGAAGAACGTAACGTTTATAGTGGCGAAGACTTAAGTCAAAGAAGAGAAATACCCCCAAAAAAGACTGAGAGGAATGTAGTAAGGATTGGCTTGCTTGTAAAAAATAAAAAGCTAGGTTTTGTTATGGGGATTCTACATTCTTTGTAGGGTGTGACTGTTTGGTCGAGAGTTTTGCTTAATGTTGGAACATGAAAGAAAAGACGTTACATCGTTTTCTTATCATAGCATCGCAAAGAATCACAATCATTGGACTTTAAAAGCGGAAACTTAGCTTTACACCGACACGTTAGGATGTCAATGTTGAAAGTCTGCATTGACGCAGTCTAGATCTTTTAAAGCGACAGGCGGCTTTGCCAATACATGTTAGAGCCAGCCCTTGCTGTGGGGGATACGTCTTACCAGAAAGACATTATATACGAAATAAATAACTTAAGCATAGCAAGGGAACCGAGCTCACATCTTCTTTGTGAATGACGAAAAGCCTAGCCATTGTACCGCAGACGAAAGTGTGCTTTTGAAGATATCACGGTTCGAGAACATAACCGCTGGATGTTCGAACCTAGCCAAGGGATCATTGTCCTCTCAAGACTTTTGTTCGGCGTTGAAATCTAGATTCTGACGTAATTCTTCTCAAATGAGATACGGATTTGTTTCCAACTTTTTTTTCTGTGAGAAATACCGTGAGAAATTTTCGGAACGGTGTGTGCCGAGCTTAAGTCACTTGTATTCAAAGTCAGCTATGACTGGCGTAGTCGTGAGATGTAGAGCACTTTGAGGAAATGGTATAATAAAGCAACTCCCGTGTGCCTTTTGATCTTTATTTTATGTCATTTCTTAAAATTCACCGCACCCGACACCGAAGTTCATTAACTTACGTATTCCTTGTTGTTCGTTCAAGCGGACGACTAACATTAAAGGAAAAAAAAATTTTAGCTACGTTCTTTGTTTTCATTCACAGTTCGCAAATGTTGCTACTTGTCCGTGTTTAGCATGACAGGGTCGCTGTTTAATATGGATCTAATGATCCTTTGATAGTCTTCTGTCGATGTTATTCCGCTGTGTAGCATTTCAAATAGTCTCATCACTATTGTATTCTTTTTAATTGTTTGTTGGTGTGTGTCCGACAACGTGAAGAGAGACTGTATCCCTTCTGTAAAGTGCTCGAGTGACGACAAAACTCGGGCACGCACGACCATTCCAAGTATTGTCTAGTAACATAGTAGTTAGTAATATGGATTGTCACCAAGGCTCGATCCAGAGCAAGACCCACACTACTGCGACTAGCAATGGTGTGTTATCACAATCTAAATACGTTCTGTTGATATGTTGTTTCCTTTGCATGTAAAACGTACTTTGATTGATTTGTATTCTTTTAATATTCTATCCAAAAAGAAGTTTTATAAAAGGTGGATAAAGTGGGGAGAGGGTGGGATTAATCTATACTTATTTATTGAGTGAATGATTTGTTGAATTCTTGATTGGCTGACGGTGATTGGTTGCTTAATCTGCTCATATTTTAATTTAGCTCATCCGTTTCTGTGGATTTTTTTTTCAGGCTCTGAAGAATTCCGCACCAAAAACGCAGGAAACTGCATGATTGACAGGGAGTGCCCGACTGACTGTGTGTGCACCGGCACCAGTGTAGACTGCTTCCAGAGGGGTCTAGAAGACATTCCTGCAGAGCTGCCCATGTATACCACAGAACTGTGAGTAAAATGTTTCTTTCTGTGCGTACACGTCTGTACGTACGTGCGTTTGTGTGTGCACGTGTTTGTGTTCGTATATCTGTGCTTCTGTGTACAGATGTGTGTGCTTCTGTGTGTGTGTGGGGGGGGGG